CAAACTAGCTTCGAATTTTTTGATTGTTTCACTAGGTGGAGACACTATTGTATCTGATGGCATTGTACAAGCCTATAATATATCGACGCTTCTGGAAACTTTATCAAATAATAATTTATTAATATAGAAAATGTATTGAAAATGAACCAACCTAGTATCATAATTAGTACTGATGAGGAATTGGCTCTAGTTTGCTGGTTATTATTCTATCAACCAACAGGGTATCATTCCAACCCCGAAAATTATGGAAAGATCTTAAAGCAGAGGGGTATCAGTTTCCATATAAAAAGGTATGTGAGTGGCTTACAAACCAGAATGAATGACAAAAACACGCACTACCACCAAAAGATACTCTATGGGTTAATTATGTCAAAATCACTCACCCAAATTGTGTACATCAGTGCAATCTCTTATTTCTTATGCATGATCATTATAAAGGTAAAAAATGGATAGCAGTGCTTAATATAATAGATGTAGGTAGCCAGTTTAAAGCTTCAGTCCCACTTACATCAAAAAAATCCAGTGAGGTTGCCAAAGCATTCAGGAAAATTTATGATAACCCTAATAACCCCCTTATCTATCCTCAATTGTTACAATGTAATGGTGGGATGGAATTCAAAAAATCGGCAAGTCAGCTAATGGAAGCGCATAATGTCACAATTCGAGTAATTGGTGCTTATAGTCATTGTGGATTAGCTCTTGTAGAACGATTCAATAAGACATTAGCAGAGATGCTTTATAAAATTCAGTATGCTGTCGAATCAATATCCAAAAATTCTAAATTAATAAGAGAGTGGGTCAAGTATTTACCAGAAGTAATAGATTATCTTAATAATTATCTGACATGTCTCATTCGAGCTCCAGGTTCATCAAAATGGGGTTTAGCTTCAGCAAAAGCTATCAAACTGGAACGAGTAGAATCTAGGCCATCTACAAAGTATAAGCGTTCTGTTAGAAAGGATGAGAAAAATAAGTTAAAAAAGGAGAATAGTGTTCGCTATCTGCTTGCTAATGCAGAATGGGAAGGCAGTATGGAGAATCAGAAAAGGGCCACGGATCCGACGTTTTCACCTTCTTTATATAAAATTCGAAAAATTGTTAAATGAAGAATGAGCCAATTTTATATTATCTCAGAGATGATGATGATGAATATCCTCCAAAGCAGGTGTTTGTACGTGAAGAGCTCATGCACATAGATCTAGAAAAACTTCAGTATCTGCCTTAGAGTATATTGGAAGAAAATATTCACTCCAAATCTATTAATTTCATCCGTGTAGTTAATAAAATGGCTAAAGCTGTTGCATATGCTGAAAAGCGTGGTGGAAAATGTCTTAGTAAAACTGATCATATAAATGGCCTAAACGTATATCTTTGGTCATGTGAAAACGGAAAGCATTAGTGGTATGCACCTTATAAGACCCAGAAGCGTAAATTTGAATGGTGCCCCCTATGTCCTCATTTTAAAGGGGAGCAATCCGCAAAATATATTTTCAAAGATCTGCTTGGTAAAAAATTTCCATCATGTAAACCATCATTTTTGAATAGGATGCAATTAGACAGGTATAATGAAGAATTAAAATTGGCATGGGAATTTAATAGGGTTCAACATTATTCTCAGAATTCAATGTTTCATAAACGAGAAGAAATAGATTTAGATTCACAGAGGAAGCGTGATCAAAAAAAGCGGGATATATGCAAAGAGCGAGGTATAGATCTTATTTGTATCCCATTTGATTGTGATTTATTTCCCTATATAAAAAGCAAATTACAAGAGAGAGGTTATTTATCATATAAAGAATAAACTCATAAGATCATTATTTTTCGATATAGATACTTTATATTTGCAAAGCAATAATTTAGCATTAACTATCTTGATTAATATGAAAATAGAGAAGCTAGACCCTGTTGAAAGAATAGTTTTAAACATCGATGAATATAATAATCCGGAAAGGTTTAACTCATTAAATAGTACACCCCAATGGCCTTTTAACTTATTAATTAGTGGGCGAACAAGATCAGGAAAAACTAATGAAGTTATCAACCTTTTACTTGGGAACAAGATGTATCATTTGTTTAATGGAAAAAAAGGTGGAACAAGATACATTAAAAATGCCGATTTGGTTTTGATCGGACATCATATTAATGAGCCGAAATACAAATATCTGAAACATTGTTATGAAATAATTGCAAATAGTTCTAAACCGTATCGTGAAGCTATTACGTTCCGAGCAATGAAGCCTGATAAGATGCCAAAAATTAATGATTTCTCTCCTAAAAGAGGAACAGTAGTTGTATTTGAAGATTTATATACTGAGCCTAAAAAAATACAAGATAGAATTGCTCCGTATTTTAGTGAAGGACGCCATGCTAATATCAGTTTAATATATATAACACAAAGCTTTTTTGACTGTCCCAAACTAATAAGAAAAAATCTCGATTATATTGTTCTCTTCAATGGTAGTGGTACCTATGATGAGCTAGTTAACATTGCCCGACGATATACAAAAAAATGGCACAATGTTGTTGATATACTTGATAAAAATTTACAAGGTCGAGAATTTATTGTTATTGATTTAACTAGAGCAAAAGAGGACCCTCTATATCTCTGTAAAAGTTGGGACCAAGTCCTGAAATTAGATGAATAGAGTGTAAGTTATTAATACATGTCATGCCTTTTTCGTACCGATAGTTATCAGTTTGAGGTCATACTTAAAAACATGTTCTATATCATATCCAGGACGGATATTGCTAGGTTTAGGTACTCTTTTATTATAAATATCATCTATTATTATTTTAACTATGTCACTAGGCATATTTAGTAAATTATATTATTTTTGTCGATTTATAGTGATTTATAGCGATTTGTAGCAGTTTGTAACAAGTATACTATAATAAATATTGAATTCATTTTTATTTTATTACAAGAATATCAGGAATTTATATAAGGTCAGTAAAAAACCGAGTTATGTGTTTTTAGTAGTCATCATTAAATCTTGTATTTTGCCGGTAAACCTTTTTTCGCAGGCTCAAGGTCTTAAATAAATTGATATATATATAAATATTGGGTTTGAAAAATGATTAAAAATAATTTATAATATAGCAATTATGCTTACCGAAATAGCTTCGTCTTGAATTTTTAACCTTTTGTGATCGTGAGCCTGACTTTGAGGTTTTGGATCGTTTTTTATTCTGCTTAGTGCATTTTTTTGATGCCCCAAGTTTATTATTATTTATGTGAACGTTAATTTCGCTATTTGAATTATCCGGATCTGTATTGCAAAATAAAGTTCCGAATTTTCTATTTTGTTTGATTGACGTTGCATGAATAAAAAAAACAACACAGATGCCTGCAATAACAGGAAGATTACCATGGACTAAAATGTTTGGTCTAAAAGTGATAGCCTGACCCTCTCTTGCATGTATTATTAACTTTAACTCGAGGAACATCAATTGCCCACCTTTGAATATTCCAAGTGGGCACACCACATAAAGTGTATTTCGGTGGTCTTTTAAATCATGATGAAATTAACTAATAACATTGAAGTTGATCGCGATTGTTGGAAAAGTGCCAAAAAACTTAGGAACATTTGGGCCAAGATCAAGCTTTGCTATTTTTGTATAAAGAGCCGGATAAGTTTCCTGTAAATAACTATTAATCGCATTAGATAGTGGTTGAAGTCCACTAATCAGCTCTCGAACACATTTCCGATATTCTGAACAATGGTTTGATGCTGTGTTTGCAGTTGTATAGGGCTCATTGTTATTGCCTGTGAAGGCTCCAAAATGCTCCACCAACCCCTTCTTAAATTCTTTAGATTTATGCAATTTATTATCTTTATTAAGGTTATGGCTATAATATTTATCTACAACTGCTATTGTATCTTCTTCACCTGTAGGTTTAACTAGATCGAAAAAGTCCACTACTACCTCATCGAAAGAATTCCTAAAACACTATGGATTGAAAACATGGTAGTAGCCCTCGAATTCCTTACCTGTAGCCACATCCCTTGTAGTTTTTTCTGCTACATCGAGTTTATAATTTGAGGGTCACCCAAATGCTTCTGAGATATTGTACACTTTCTGCATTTTTTTCTTGACTTCTCGATGTGCATGGTTTACTTTTGACCAAAGACGATGACAGTAATGATGGAAGCATTTATTAAAATCCGGAATCTTCGGAAAATATGCCCACAACCCAAACTTTCTCCAAACCGCTAATGATGAATTTAAAGAACCATTATTACTAAAGATTTTAGACTCTAGTAAAGCCATGTATTGAGTTGGTATTTCAAAATCATTAGTAGGTATTGGTTGAATTGTTTGTGGGGCAAAGAGTTAGTTATATTGGTATTTGAACCTATTGCATCCATTACTAATAAATCATTTCGTGATAGTCTTCGCTGTTCTCTTTTTTCTAAGAACTTTTTGATAAAAGTAAATTCTGGATTGGACAATGTATAAGGTTGTGAAACTTTGGTCGATTTAAGATCTTCAGGGAGAAAGTCTTCCGATATCCATCAAGTTCAAATATATTCACGAGTTTCACTTTTTGTAGAACAATGGGTCTCTGATTGAGTTTTGTGCTGGTGAATATATATTCAAAAAATTAATAAATGGTATTCCGTATAACTTCTTATGAAGTTGTATAATAAAATTTTGAGGTGGATACATTTGATCCATTTTTTATCTCATAGCTCAGCATTAAACGAGAAGCTCATTCGGTTTTCCTCTTCTCGCTAATAAGACAATCGTGATTTAATGATCGTGCCCTCAATAACAATAGAACTAGGGAGGGAATACTCAGATCCTAGGCCTGCCTCGAAAGGCAAAAAGTACCCTTAAGAAGACTATACTATAAATAATAGGGGTTTACTTGTATCAAAATTAATTAACTTACTTTCAGATGATCGTAGAAAATATTATCTCTTTCATCGGCCAGGTTAATATTGGATGTGGAATTAGTATTCTCTTCAATGACAGAAATATCAAGATTTTCAAATTTGGCTTTTTTTATGGCACAAAGGTCTTTTTTACATAGATTTCTTTTAGAGGCCTTCGATAATAATGTGATGGATTTATTTTGGGACGACATAGTGCTTATACAGCAGGTAATTTTTATAAAGAAATTTTTTAAGAAAAAAAGCAAAATTGGAACAGAACTTAATATTAAAGGTGGCCCTATTTATTGGCTTATTCATTAGAGATTGCAATTTATTTTCTTGCATTTGCATTGACACGAAGCAGTATGTAATATGAATGACTCGGCATTGCGATAATTCGACATGAGTCAACTACTAATTGCTATTTGGTATCATATAAACAAATAATTAAATTGTTTACTAAATTCGACACCACAATTATTGAACACGGCAAATCAATCAATATTCGCATGTTTTCTATATTTGGGATTATTGTATATTGTTCAATAACCTGTTAAGAGGTGCATTTGGCTACTTTAATATTTAGTTGTGAATCGCCATATGTAGTGCTGTGTGACAAACAAATTTAAAATACACATTTGATTGAGGTCATAGATAGATTTGACTACAAAAAGAATAAATGAATTAATAGCATATTATTTGATCTTCAACTTTGAATAAGCTATATTGCTGTGAATCGAGGATCCAGAAGTACTGCTTCCTCACATAGTATATCCAAAGTTAGAAAAAAAAATATATCACGATTGTTTACTTGAATTTTTTTATGCCAACAAATTCTAACCCCGAGAACTATTGTATTTCACAACAGTCAGTAAAAATTTATAACGAATCATGTGATTTATATGATGAATTTTCATGCATTAAAACTTCTACTATAAATTGATATTTTTTCCGAAACTATAAAGATGTAATTTTATTTATTATCCTAAAAAGACTCAGAAATAAAGATAAAAATACATCTAATACTTATATATTACAGAATGATTGCAATAAAAGCTATCCTCAACATATGCCAAATGGAATGAAATACCATTTATATGCTAAATATATTTTCCTAAACTTTTTTAATCCAGGTTAACTGTTTACCAGAAGGTGTGATTTTCCTATGACCATCTTTAGATAATTTAGAAGGATCTAATTGACGGCCTCCATATAGGATAAACCGACCAAGGTCAGTCTGTTCTTGCTCACTAAACATTTTTCCATCGACATAAAGACGGGTCTGAGGGAAGACACTGCGAGAGACAGTAACAGAAACCTGACGATTACAACAAACTTTCATATCAACATAAGTAAAAATAAATGGCGCATCCGTTTTTATCATATACTGCTGTTCATATCATGCATCATGTGATAACCTACTAGTTCTAAAATCAAGAATATTTAAGCAAGTATTATTATTATTGAATGTTTTAGGTTTTGATTGAAACCTGATAAATGTGAGGTCCTCTGTATAAATATCGGCCGATTCATATTTATAAGTAATTGGATTACGTGAAAGGAGATTGGGTATTTTAGTATACCTATAAGGATTGTGCTCGGCATCATCACATTGTTCTGGATTTTTGGTCGAATTTTTTTTATTATAGTAATCAGGATCACGGGAATTAGCAGTGACAGGTTTACCTTTAGCATCACACTTAATGTTAAAGCTGGGAATATGGATGTATCCTCTGTATTCTTTTTTTCTGGCCCATTTATCAAAGTCACCACCTATGCCATTCATGTGAAAAAGGAGGTGGGTGGATCATCATTTGCTAACAATTTTAATGCTCCACAGGCTAACTTTCTTAGGGCATAACCTTCCATTACATCATTCAACTGTTTGTCACAATAATCAAAAAAATTTGGATTATTCTTGATGTAAGAAATAGTAAGAACGTCTAGTGTTTGAAAGGTTACTGCGATTCCTCCTAACGTGTCTCAAAGCAAGAAGGTAACCAAGATAATGATAACTTTGCCAAGCATGACAGCTTTTAGATGGTTATACTGTAACAGTAAGACCAAAGAACAAAAAAGCTTAACACGAATTTATCGATTTATTTATTTGGTTTATTTGCAATGTTATGAATTTGTTTAAATAAAAACAAGTGTTATATTTGATAAAAATTTTTATTTCTCCCGAGTATTTAACAGAAAGGCATGTACACAAGAAATCATATATATATCTATCCTCTTGTAATGCCAAAACATGTAAAAAGAACAGTTTAAATTATATGTAAGAAATTTACTACGCATGGTAATAAATTACATGAATAAATATATATTACTATGTTGATTGGTACCTTAAACTATTCTTTCTAGAAATGACTCAAAAGAAATATAAACAAAAAAAATTCAATTTGCTTCGCGAAAAATTACCCAATTATTCAAATTTGTGCCAGATTAAAATAATTATAATTTCGTTAATACCTATCTACACCCTAATGAAACACCGCATTTAAATTTCGTTCGATGTAAAAATGAAATATCATTTAAACTTTGTTCTGACTTTTAATTTGATTCACATACAGTATACAGTATAAGTTAAATAATTCACTATGCATGATATAATCTGATATCAGATGTACAAATTAATTTGTGTTAGAATAAATAACGATAAGTTATATGATATAACTTTTTCTAATACGTTGATATCTGCGAACATATGTGTTTTATTTTTGTACGTATAACACAAGTATACAAAAATTCGATCATGGTTTTTTTAAACTGAATATTCGAAATTCAATAAACATTTGTTAGTATATACAAATTTAGAATAGATCTTAATACAGTATTTTGCTTATTTCGAACAGTACTTCAACAGTGGCTTAGCAGTAGTTTAAACATTAATACTATAATATCGATATAGTAAGAGTCATTGTAGAAAAATTTTTATTAATATTAGTGTAAGTACAGAAGTACAGAAGTAAGATACAGTAACAAGTCGCACAAAATTAGATATAAGGTTTTGTGACACTCTCCTGCAGAATCATTTCTCACGATGCGATTTTTTTTAACGAATATTATGAATGTCTAGACTCTTTTCCTTACTTTATATAATACCGCGATAAGAATGAAACTTAAAAAGGCTATAAGGGCAATGAGTATAACGTTCTTAATCAGTAGTTTTATCAAAATTCATATATTACAGAGACTTCGAATCCCGAGATCATCAGATCTAAACCCACTTTAAACGATCGTCAATTATAGGGGGATTAATTTCACCAGAAAAAATAACAGAATAGATTCAGTGTTTGGAAGTTATGACCGAGTGGAGTTGCTTTATGGAGAAAAAAAAAACTGGCATTAGACTTGGGTAATGCAATTACTAATCATGCATTTTCTTTCTGGCAGGTTCTCAGACCTAACAAATATGAGATATAAAAATAAGCGGATTTGCTCACAAGGTAAGTTAGCAATAACGTTGCTCTTATATATTTTTTTTGGCTTAACTTATTTAAAATTTACTTTCAAGGTCTGGTTAACATACATTGTATGTTATATGTTTTTTTTCGAAAGCGAATTTCTACTTACTATTTATTTTTATGTTAGAAAGCGAAAATGGCGAATATTACTTTAAATTATCATGTCAGCAGTGATTATTCAATTAATATTCCCCCAAATATGACAGTCACCAACCTTAAAACTATGATTAGAAATAATGTTCCTTTTACCGATTTTGATCTCTATGTAAATGATACCGCTCGAGATGCAAGAAAATATATGGATCTGCAAAATATGGTTTCACAATATTTTGATATTAATAGACTGGGAAATCACATCCATATCCTTGTTTATGAAAGATATTTTTTTTTTTTATATGTATTCGCACTAAGTAATTGCGATATATTTTTTTATTTGTATATTATGTTGTTGTTATGGCAATATAATTTTTTATAATAATAAAGGAAGGGGGTCTGCTGGGCTCCCAATTTTTTATTTTTACGCGATAGTGTGAACAAGTATTGGTTATCAGTTATACTATTATTTTAATTTTTATTAGCACCACTAAAATCTAATATATGCTAATCAATTTTTTATAAGTTACATTACCGGTTCTTAAATCATAGTAATAACCTACATCTTCTTTATCATCAGAAACCATTGTGTCTATATCATTTATCTTATCATTATCAGAAAATGATACGACTTCTTCAGAATCATTGTCATGGCTACAATCACTATCATAGTCTGTCTGAACTTCATTAGTTCCTTTCTCCATTGACAAAGGCATAGGATCATTAAAATACGCCTCAGCTAGAGTGATTTGAGGCATGAATGATGAATTACCTAAAGAATTAGAGTCATATGTAAGAGGAATAGGTGCAATTAATTCGCTTACCTTAGCTGAATTTTGGCCGGGGCTCCCGGCTGAAATCTCAGTCATAAGACTTGATACTTCTTCCACATCAGTGTTATCACTATCATTATGTTTGGAGAAATTATCTATGATATCTTGAACTTTATCATTAGTCAACTCAGAAATAGAGTTCGCACTATATGTCGTAATATACTTAATATTGTCTATGCCTACCTTTTCAAATAATTTATATATCTTTACAGCTTTCTGAGTTTTCCTTTGTAAGTTTTTATGGGAGATTTCTGGGAGACGCAATTCTGTCTCTTCAGATCGTTGCTTTCGCAATATGGATAGGTGTTCCAACATTTTATCATATATTATTCCCTTTGCCTTTTTTTTACCTATTTTGCCTTTTCCATCTTGTACAATCACACTAACCTGGGTTAAAAATTCTTTTCCATAATAATACCAGTGCAAAATCTCTTCCTGATTAGCACAAATTGCACCATATTCAGCATCATCCGCTTTATCAAATAATTGTGCTAGAGAAAGCAATGAATCTATAGATGAATTTTGGCAGAGACTCTCAATTGAAATCACATCGCAAGGAGTGGCTTTGTCATTCGATTGGGCATCATCTTTAATGCCATCAACTATCAATTGTACGATGTTTTCTGCACCTTTCTTCCTATGGCTATTTTGACAGGGGCTCCTAGCTGAAATTTCAGAAGTAGAAGTACCGGAGGATATGTAGTTATTTATAGTCAACCCGGTATCAGATTCTTGATCTTGATTAAAGGATGCTTTGCTAAGTTTCTTCTCCTTATTGCGTTGTCTTATTCCATCACTAACGCTTTGCTTACGTGCCTCGTTCAGGAAAGTATCCATTTCCCTATCTTCCGATGACTTCTGATCACTCACGCAAGAAGTGGCGTTATCACATTGGTCTGAAATAGAGTTATATACATTGTCAATCCTCTCGGGAGAAATATCCTGGGTTAGCTCTTTGTTCTCTTCATTATTATCCTTTAGCTTCACTATTTCAACCTTAATCTTAGCAATCTCAACATCACGCCTAATATTCTCGGCTGAAGAATCTTCCTTGTTTTTCTCCAACTCCTCGATTCTGGCCTTGAGTTTGACATTCTCATCATCATGCTGTTTATTCTCTTCCACAGCCTGCCTTAGAAGCTCAGCAATCCTACTATTAAGCTCAGCTTTTTCAGCCTCGATTTCAGCAAACTTCCTTCTAAGATCAGGGATTTCAGCATTCTCCTTCCTAAGCTCCGCAATCTCAGTTAAGAGTTTAGCATTTAATTCTCTCAATAAATCAATAGATTGAGCATTTGACATGTTTGATATACCTGTTTATACACTAATATTCAAAATAAATAATCACGCGCGTGAATAATTGTTCATGCTGATCACTTTTGCCAAGAAAAAAATTTTTTATTAATACATGCGAAAAATAAATACAAATGTTCGGGACTTAGCCCGTGATACATGACGTCTATACTATTGTCTGCGAACTAATTTCTGCATGAAAAACTTTTACGCTCTGGGCATCAAAAATTCTCGATCATATACGAGTTAATATACATCGATAACAATACAATAAAATAAATTCACGAAATATACATGCAA